GGGACGGCCACTGTGACCTTGTCTGGGAGAGCAGGCAGCTCTGGGACGGCCACTGTGACCTTGTCTGGGAGAGCAGGCAGCTCTGGGAAGGCTTCAGTGGCCTTGTCTGGGAGAGCAGGCAGCTCTGGGACGGCCACCGTGACCTTGTCTGGGAGAGCAGGCAGCTCTGGGACGGCCACCGTGACCTTGTCTGGGAGAGCAGGCAGCTCTGGGACGGCCACTGTGACCTGGTCTGGGAGAGCAGGCAGCTCTAGGACGGCCACTGTGACCTGGTCTGGGAGAGCAGGCAGCTCTGGGATGGCCACCGTGACCTTGTCTGGGAGAGCAGGGAGCTCTGGGACGGCCACTGTGACCTTGTCTGGGAGAGCAGGCAGCTCTGGGACGGCCACTGTGACCTTGTCTGGGAGAGCAGGCAGCTCTGGGACGGCCACTGTGACCTTGTCTGGGAGAGCAGGCAGCTCTGAGAAGGCTTCAGTGGCCTTGTCTGGGAGAGCAGGCAGCTCTGGGACGGCCACCGTGACCTTGTCTGGGAGAGCAGGCAGCTCTGGGACGGCCACTGTGACCTGGTCTGGGAGAGCAGGCAGCTCTGGGACGGCCACTGTGCCCTTGTCTGGGAGAGCAGGGAGCTCTGGGAAGGCTTCAGTGGGCTTGTCTGGGAGAGCAGGAAGCTCTGGGACGGCCACGTGACCTTGTCTGGGAGAGCAGGGAGCTCTGGGACAGCCACCGTGGCCTTGTCTGGGAGAGCAGGCAGCTCTGGGACGGCCACCGTGGCCTTGTCTGGGAGAGCAGGCAGCTCTGGGACGGCCACCGTGACCTTGTCTGGGAGAGCAGGCAGCTCTGGGACGGCCACCGTGCCCTTGTCTGGGAGAGCAGGCAGCTCTGGGACGGCCACCGTGCCCTTGTCTGGGAGAGCAGGCAGCTCTGGGACGGCCACCGTGACCTTGTCTGGGAGTGCAGGCAGCTCTGGGACGGCCACTGTGACCTGGTCTGGGAGAACAGGCAGCTCTGGGACGGCCACCGTGACCTTGTGAGGGAGAGCAGGCAGCTCTGGGAGGGCCACAGTGACCTGGTCTGGGAGAGCAGGCAGCTCTGGGACGGCCACCGTGACCTTGTCTGGGAGAGCAGGCAGCTCTGGGAAGGCTTCTGTGGCCTTGTCTGGGAGAGCAGGCAGCTCTGGGATGGCCACCGTGACCTTGTCTGGGAGAGCAGGCAGCTCTGGGAAGGCTTCTGTGACCTTGTCTAAGAGAGCAGACAGCTCTGGGAAGGCTTCTATGGCCTTGTCTGGGAGAGCAGGCAGCTCTGAGAAGGCTTCAGTGGCCTTTGCTGGGAGAGCAGGTAGCTCTGAGAAGGCTTCTGTGACCTTGTCTGGGAGAGCAGGCAGCTCTGGGAAGGCTTCTGTGACCTTGTCTGGGAGAGCAGGCAGCTCTGGGAAGGCTTCTGTGGCCTTGTCTGGGAGAGCAGGCAGCTCTGGGACGGTCACCGTGACCTTGTCTGGGAGAGCAGGAAGCTCTGGGAAGGCTTCAGTGGCCTTTGCTGGGAGAGCAGGCAGCTCTGGGAAGGCTTCTGTGACCTTGTCTGGGAGAGCAGGCAGCTCTGGGACGGCCACTGTGACCTGGTCTGGGAGAGCAGGCAGCTCTGGGACGGCCACTGTGACCTTGTCTGGGAGAGCAGGCAGTTCTGGGGCGGCCACTGTGACCTTGTCTGGGGAGAGCAGGCAGCTCTGGGAAGGCTTCAGTGGCCTTGTCTGTGAGAGCAGGCAGCTCTGGGACGGCCACCGTGACCTTGTCTGGGAGAGCAGGCAGCTCTGGGACGGCCACTGTGACCTGGTCTGGGAGAGCAGGTAGCTCTGGGACGGCCACCGTGCCCTTTGTCTGGGAGAGCAGGGAGCTCTGGGAAGGCTTCAGTGGCCTTGTCTGGGAGAGCAGGGAGCTCTGGGACGGCCACCGTGACCTTGTCTGGGAGAGCAGGCAGCTCTGGGACGGCCACTGTGACCTGGTCTGGGAGAGCAGGCAGCTCTGGGACGGCCACCGTGCCCTTGTCTGGGAGAGCAGGGAGCTCTGGGACGCCCACCGTGACCTTGTGTGGGAGAGCAGGCAGCTCTGGGACGGCCACCGTGACCTTGTGTGGGAGAGCAGGCAGCTCTGGGACGGCCACCGTGACCTTGTGTGGGAGAGAAGGCAGCTCTGGGACAGCCACCGTGGCCTTGTCTGGGAGAGCAGGCAGCTCTGGGACGGCCACCGTGGCCTTGTCTGGGAGAGCAGGCAGCTCTGGGACGGCCACCGTGACCTTGTCTGGGAGAGCAGGCAGCTCTGGGACGGCCACCGTGCCCTTGTCTGGGAGAGCAGGCAGCTCTGGGACGGCCACCGTGCCCTTGTCTGGGAGAGCAGGCAGCTCTGGGACGGCCACCGTGACCTTGTCTGGGAGAGCAGGCAGCTCTGGGACGGCCACCGTGCCCTTGTCTGGGAGAGCAGGCAGCTCTGGGACGGCCACCGTGCCCTTGTCTGGGAGAGCAGGCAGCTCTGGGACGGCCACCGTGCCCTTGTCTGGGAGAGCAGGCAGCTCTGGGACGGCCACTGTGACCTGGTCTGGGAGAACAGGCAGCTCTGGGACGGCCACCGTGACCTTGTGAGGGAGAGCAGGCAGCTCTGGGAGGGCCACAGTGACCTGGTCTGGGAGAGCAGGCAGCTCTGGGACGGCCACTGTGGCCTTGTCTGGGAGAGTAAGCAGCTCTGGGACGGCCACCGTGACCTTGTCTGGGAGAGCAGGCAGCTCTGGGAAGGCTTCTGTGGCCTTGTCTGGGAGAGCAGGCAGCTCTGGGATGGCCACCGTGACCTTGTCTGGGAGAGCAGGCAGCTCTGGGAAGGCTTCTGTGACCTTGTCTAAGAGAGCAGACAGCTCTGGGAAGGCTTCTATGGCCTTGTCTGGGAGAGCAGGCAGCTCTGAGAAGGCTTCAGTGGCCTTTGCTGGGAGAGCAGGTAGCTCTGAGAAGGCTTCTGTGACCTTGTCTGGGAGAGCAGGCAGCTCTGGGAAGTCTTCTGTGGCCTTGTCTGGGAGAGCAGGCAGCTCTGGGACGGTCACCGTGACCTTGTCTGGGAGAGCAGGCAGCTCTGGGAAGGCTTCAGGGGCCTTTGCTGGGAGAGCAGGCAGCTCTGTGAAGGCTTCTCTGACCTTGTCTGGGAGAGCAGGCAGCTCTGTGAAGGCTTCTGTGGTCTTGTCTGGGAGAGCAGGCAGCTCTGGGACGGTCACCGTGACCTTGTCTGGGAGAGCAGGCAGCTCTGGGAAGGCTTCAGTGTCCTTGTCTGGGAGAGCAGGCAGCTCTGGGAAGGCTTCAGTGGCCTTGTCTGGGAGAGCAGGCAGCTCTGGGAAGGCTTCTGTGGCCTTGTCTGGGAGAGCAGGCAGCTCTGGGACGGCTTCTCTGGCCTTGTCTGGGAGAGCAAGCAGCTCTGGGAAGGCTTCAGTGGCTGTGGACGGGTAGCCCTCCCACCTCCAAAATATCTTGGGAGGAACTACACCCCTGTGAGCAGCCAGCACACACAAAATAGCTGTAGCCATGATGGTCAGTGCTGCACTCTCTGGAGCGGACTCAGGGGCTGGAGCCTTCACTGGACTCTTGTCGGGGGCTGGAGCCAACACTCGAGCAGACTCTGGAATATCTCTCATAGGAGCGGATTCAGGGATTTCACTATCTGGAGCAGACTCAGGAATTACACACACTGGAACAAACTTGGGAACTTTATTCACTGGAGCAGGAAGATCCCTTACTGAAAGCATTGTGACCCTTGGAATTGGCAATGCTGTAATCTCCTTTGAGCGGGAATTTCTCACACTAGAACGCACTCGAGGGTTTCAATCTCTGGAGCGGATTCGAGGGTTTCACCCTCTGGAGTGGACTTGGGAGCGGACTCTGGATCTGGGGGCCTGAGAGGGGAAGATTTGTTCAGGGCCTTCCAGATAGAAATAACCGACAAGAACTGAAAAAATCAAAAACAAACTAGAAATGTGACAATTCTATTCTTTTCTCAATAGCAATGTGAATTGTGAAAAGCGCTAAATTATATTGACATAAGCAGTATAGAATTTATGTTGCCCAATTATTCTATTCTATTCTATTCTCAATGGCACAGCTTATTGAAACAATGTGAATTGTAAAAAGTGCTAAATAAACGGACTTAAGTAGTATAGAATTTGTTACCCACCCATTCTATTCTATTACAAATAGCACAGATTATTTATGGTAAATGGTAAATGGACTGCATTTATATAGCGCTTTCACAGACCCAATGGCCACCAAAGCGCTTTACAATTTGCCTCGCATTCACCCATTCACTCAGTTATTCACACACCGACGGCGGTGTCAGCCATACAAGGCGCCATCCAGCTCGTCGGGAGCAGCTAGGGTTAGGTGTCTTGCTCATGGACACCTCGACACTTGGTCAGGTGGAACCAGGGATAAAACCACCAACCTTCCGGTTTGTAGACAACCTCCATGAACCACTGAGCCACTGCTAAACTAACTTGGCTTGCTGTCCTTGGAGGAGGCTCGAACCCGAGGCTTGGCTTGAGCTCCGAGTCAAAACCCCCCCATGATGGAATTGCACATAAGAGGATAGAGATAATTTACTGGAGGAGAAGGGGAGGAGGAGGGCTGCCAGAAGAATTTGTCAATGGGATGACGTGGTGTCTGCTGCTTAAATAGTATGCTAGTAATGATGATTGACAGGACTGAATGTTTAGGCTCCTCCCGAACCTACGCTTTGAACTTCATCTAACTAGCCATGATTTACATGAATGTTTTGACTTTATTCTTTGGAATAAATCTCAGCATATAAATCTACTCGTCATGTGTGCCTGCAATGTAAAGAACAACAACAACAGAAACAAACAAACACATTTGCTTGCATACTATGGCCTGACAGATTTATTACCCTAAATAATTATCAAGATTTTGGCAGAGTTTAAAGATATTCTCTCCCAACACTTAACATTTCAGTCCAAATCCATGAATTTGCTGGTTTTCAATAATCATTTTATTAAAAATGTCATTAAAATATTGGATAAATTGTGTCATCTTAAACAAAAATACAAGCATTTTTATATACAAATACAAAAATTACAATATATGAATATAAAATGACAAGTAAAAAACTTTTTAGGTCTATGATCAACATCTGCTCGAATGGATAAGAGTCATCAAACCACACAACCGGAGCTTTCTGAATGTTGCCTTTCTTCTTGTATTTTCTGTAACTTCTTTTAACAACAGTCATAATACTCCAATACTGGTCACCTTTGTGCCTTGACAAATATCTTGTACATTACAGTAACATCAGTCAGTTCATGCATGCATTAACAATCCTGTCTTCTGAACATATGCAAAATCCCATTCGTTTAGCACATCATTTAAAAAGATTTTTCATTTACAATTAACAAACATTTTCTTAGCTTGGCACTTCTATCTTATGCAGACAGTTAACTTTCCATATGAAAAAAAGATATTATAATTATTATGTAATTTTTCATATTATTGTGTTTATTAGCATGTAAAATATAAATAATCTTTAAATGAAACAATCTATGCAAAAACTGTAAGCATGTGTTTTCTCTCATACCAATACAAGTCGGTCACACTGTGATCCAAAGTCACTGAACACACATTCACTGCCATCGTTAAATGACCATTTCCACACTGTATTTTGTTTAAATAGCAAAATATCAAAGCTGGAAACATGCTGCCCACTTCTAACAGCACTAAACCTGTACCACTGTAACTGTGTGGTAATGCACTTGCTCCTCGGATTTCTGGTGATATTCCACAACGGTTCAGTTACGTGGTTGGGAGTTGAATTCGTTGCAGATGTTGTGAATAATTTTTGATACATACTTGTAAAGGTTGTCAAACTCATCGACAAAGAAAGAGTGCTCTCTGTCCGGGTCAGTGGCGATGTATTCCAGCTCGTCCTGCGCTGCCCAGGCGATCCCGATGGAGTACGCGATCACACCTGGAGCGGGAGAGACAGCAGAGGAAAACACTTCAACTTCCATCACACCACACCACAAATACATGCTCGGAAATGGGCACTTCTATTATTCAGGGCCAAAAAGTTCTAGCAACAGCCTCTGAATTATGACGTTTAATGTGATTCTAGATCTACATCCTTGGCTGGTCCTGGTACAACATTCCCAAAAATCAGTCAGATGTTAGACTTGGCTTGACTAACTCTTTTGCAGGCTTATTAGGTTGCTGTCACTTTAAGACCTAAAGCACACATCCATTATACTGTTACACATGCGTTTCTTTTCTCAACTGTTTACGTTCACAAAGCAGAACTGACTGTGTTTAAGTGAATGCTCGCCATGACCGGCATTTTGACATTATTTTGTGTGTATTTGACTGTTTAGGCGCAATAAGCTGAGAAAAATAACTCAATTTAGTACTGAGAGGCGGCTTTATGTGCACAAACTTTGGGTGTGAGCACAAAATATGTGGGAATGAGTAGAATGCGCAATCCCACGCCTGTGACACCAACAATATTCATCCAGAGCAAATGAAAGGAGTGAGTGAGGAGAGGCAGGCTTGTGTGTCACTCGCTGTCGGAGAGAGAGAGAGAAAGAGACACTGGTGTAGTGTGTCTACTCTGCGGAAAATGAGTATTGAAACGTTTCATATCTTTCAGTATCAAAATGTATTGGAAAATCAATATTTTTGAGACACCCCTCGCTGCAGCCTGTAGCACGATGACGTAGCTGGATGGTCCAATACGTATTGGATGGAGGTGTGTTTTGCTGACGTCATATACGCATGCGCAGTGTCGATCTCTGGATTTTAATTCGCATGCGCTGGTTTTAAGTGACATATATGCTCAATATTGTACTGATATGATGTTCTAACCTGTGTAGTATAGTACTGCTAAATAGTAATTATTGATAAATAAGTAATTATTTACATAAATGGGATGCTTATCCGAGTTTCACACATAGGCTATGCAAAATAGTTAATTTTACAACATTTTAAATCACATGATTTTAAACCTAAATTTGATAGATTAATAGCATGTCCTCAGCACCGCAAGTTTTTTTTTTTTTTTTTTTTTAAAGCCATTTTATTTTATTCAGGTCACATTTGCTGTTGAGTGGAAGCAAAAATGAATCAAGTAGCCAAATTGTCTTTGTAATTTTAAAGGTACAATACAATAAAGTCTGAAACATTTTAAGATACCAGTACACATTTAAGGGAAAATGCAAAAATAATAACAGCATCAAGAAAATAAATCTTGTCAGATGTAAAAAAAAAAGTGCTTGATATTTTGCCTGGTAAGAGTTCCTTCTTTAATGGCTATAGCCTACTCATTTTTCCACAGTTCAGTGTCTGCAATACATATGGTAGGCTATAGAAGCTTGTTTTCGCCACAGAGTGAGAAATAAAAAAGGTAACTTTATCTCACTACTCTGACTTTTTATCTCAGAATTGAAGTCGCAATTGCAGGTTATAACGTCAGAATTGCGTGATATAAAGTCGCAATTGCGTGTTAAGTCAGAATTATGAGATATAAACTCGCAATTGCGAGGCTTCTTGAAATTCTGGCTTTATAATAACCTACGCAAATTGGAGATATAGGCTAAAGTCAGAATTGCATGATATAAAGTCGCAATTGTGTGTTATAAAGTCAGAATTGTGAGAGAACTATTCTGAGGTAAAATTTGACTTTATAACTCGCAATTGCGAGTTTATATCTCACAATTCTAAGAAAATATGTCCGAATTGATAGATATAAAATCTTAATTATGTGTTATAAATTCAGAATTGCGAGAAAAAAGTCAGAATTTCGACTTTATAATACCAATTGGGAGATATAAAGTCAGAATTGCATGATAAGTCGCAATTGCGTGTTATAGCCAGTCAGAATTGTGAGATATTAAACTATTCTGAGGTTAAAAAAATAAGTCATTTTTTCCCTTAGAATTTGACTTTATAATTCGCAATTGCGAGTTTATGTCACAATTATGAGAAAAAATGTCAGAATTGGGAGACGTAAACTCCCAATTATGTAGGCCTATTATAAATTCAGAATTCTGACTTTATTTCACGCAATTCTGACTTTATAACATGCAATTGAGACTTTACATCTTGCAAACTGACTTTATTTCTCAGAATTGTGATATATAGTCAGAACTGCGTTAAATAAACTCGCAATTGTGAGGAAAAAGTCTCAATTATATATTTTTTAATGTTTTATTCTGTGGCGGAAAAGAGCTTCCATACTCAAGTGACCATTTATATTTAACTTACTTTATTCTTCTTGGAAGATCAAAGCACGTGCGATCGTTCACCAACTCTCTACTGTCTCTACACCTACTCTAACTATAGAATCAATTCTTAATGCGCATATGAACGCCATCAGCGTTTATCACAGGTTCTTAAACATTATTTAAGAACCGCTATAAAGCCAAAACAATCTCATTTACCTTAAATTATATGTTTATCTCTGCTTTGAAACAATCTACATTGTTAAAAGCGCTATAAATGAACTTGACTTGACTAGTGCGCATGCGTATATGACGTCAGCAAAACACACCTCCATCCAATACGTATTGGACCATCCAGCTACGTCATCGTGCTACAGGCTGCAGCGAGGACCTCTTGATATTTTTGACAACACTACATTGCACTTATTATTTGAGATGCCTTTTTAAAAGACTACAATTGAGAAATGTATATGTTATATATTAAATTCAAACGTTACACACCCCTGCTGAAGTACACACACATCTGGCGGGTTTGCGGGTGTTAACTTGAAGGCCTGAAAACGGACACGAGGTTGCTTTATTTCTTCTCGATACGCGAGTAACGTTGGTTTTGCAGTGTTTTACAGAACTAAGATATGCTGTCTTTTGCTTGAATATATACTTGTGTGTCATCTACGCTTGTTTGTTCATTTGCATTATTATTATTATTATATTAATATGAAGGGATCAAAGCAAAACAACAATTAGACATTCATATTATCATAGTAACACAAATTGCTTTCCCGTACTGATGACATCATACCCTCGGGCACAGACTCCGCCAGAGTCGTTCCCTGTGTCGCGGCGAGTAGCTGAATGTGGAGGCGGAGCTATGAAAGACAGGGGTGTGGTCCTGTTGGGTCTGGGCTTGTTTGTTTTGGTGATTTCGAATCTCAACAGCGTTTATCAGAGATCACTTTCTGCACCTTTTTGGTCTGTAAACTCGATAATGACGTCAACCTACTGCGTCCTACCTCACGCTAGGCGTTTCGCCGCACTCACCTTTCCGATGTACCGCCAGCGCCGGGGCCCTCACGTCATCGTAGGAGCGTCCGTCCGTGATGACGATCATGATCTTACGCTTGTTGGGTTTGGATTTGCTGAAGAGCTGGTCCGCGGCGTACGTGATGGCGGCTCCTGTACTGGTTCCTCCGCTCCAGTAGTTGATGCGCTTGATGGCGTTCAGCAAGTCGGCTTTGTTGTTGTGCTGTCCGAAAGCGAACTCCAGCCTCTGCTCATACGTGTACTGTACGATTCCTACGCGCGTGTCCGTGTCGGAGATCTCGAACTCCCGCGTCACGTTGGCGACGAACTGGAGCACGGTGCGGAAGTTCCCGGTTCCCACGCTGCTGGAGCCGTCGATGACGAAGGCGATGTCGTTGGCGTTCAGGCAGGTCTTGCTGCACATCAGGCGGTCGGTGTCACACACACGCTTCACCAGAGGCTGAACGGCTTTACGCAGAGCGAACCAGCTCGCGATCGGAAGCGAGTAGAAGCCGTTGGTTCTGCACACAGCCTACGGCACAAAACAAGAAATTAAGTTCTCTCTATGTTCCTTAAAGCGATAGTTCACCAAAAAAATTATATTACCCCATTATTTACTCATCATCAAGCCATCTATCCATCATTAAAGTGCATCTGTCCATCATAAAAGTGCATCTGTCCATCATTAAAGTGCATCTATCCATCATAAAAGTGCATCTGTCCATCATTAAAGTGCATCTGTCCATCATTAAAGTGCATCTATCCATCATAAAAGTGCATCTGTCCATCATAAAAGTGCATCTATCCATCATAAAAGTGCATCTGTCCATCATAAAAGTGCATCTATCCATCATAAAGTGCATCTATCCATCATAAAAGTGCATCTATCCATCATAAAAGTGCATCTGTCCATCATTAAAGTGCATCTATCCATCATAAAAGTGCATCTGTCCATCATAAAAGTGCATCTGTCCATCATTAAAGTGCATCTGTCCATCATAAAAGTGCATCTGTCCATCATAAAAGTGCATCTGTCCATCATAAAAGTGCATCTGTCCATCATAAAAGTGCATCTATCCATCATAAAAGTGCATCTATCCATCATAAAAGTGCATCTATCCATCATAAAAGTGCATCTGTCCATCATTAAAGTGCATCTATCCATCATAAAAGTGCATCTGTCCATCATTAAAGTGCATCTGTCCATCATAAAAGTGCATCTGTCCATCATAAAAGTGCATCTATCCATCATAAAAGTGCATCTGTCCATCATAAAAGTGCATCTATCCATCATAAAAGTGCCTCTGTCCATCATAAAAGTGCATCTGTCCATCATAAAAGTGCATCTGTCCATCATAAAAGTGCATCTATCCATCATAAAAGTGCATCTATCCATCATAAAAGTGCCTCTGTCCATCATAAAAGTGCATCTGTCCATCATAAAAGTGCATCTGTCCATCATAAAAGTGCATCTATCCATCATAAAAGTGCATCTATCCATCATAAAAGTGCATCTGTCCATCATTAAAGTGCATCTATCCATCATAAAAGTGCATCTGTCCATCATTAAAGTGCATCTGTCCATCATAAAAGTGCATCTGTCCATCATTAAAGTGCATCTATCCATCATAAAAGTGCATCTGTCCATCATTAAAGTGCATCTATCCATCATAAAAGTGCATCTATCCATCATAAAAGTGCATCTGTCCATCATTAAAGTGCATCTATCCATCATTAAAGTGCATCTGTCCATCATAAAAGTGCATCTGTCCATCATTAAAGTGCATCTATCCATCATAAAAGTGCATCTGTCCATCATAAAAGTGCATCTGTCCATCATAAAAGTGCATCTGTCCATCATAAAAGTGCATCTGTCCATCATAAAAGTGCATCTGTCCATCATAAAAGTGCATCTATCCATCATAAAAGTGCATCTATCCATCATAAAAGTGCATCTGTCCATCATAAAAGTGCATCTGTCATCATAAAAGTGCATCTGTCCATCATAAAAGTGCATCTGTCCATCATAAAAGTGCATCTATCCATCATAAAAGTGCATCTATCCATCATAAAAGTGCATCTGTCCATCATTAAAGTGCATCTGTCCATCATAAAAGTGCATCTATCCATCATAAAAGTGCATCTATCCATCATAAAAGTGCATCTGTCCATCATAAAAGTGCATCTATCCATCATAAAAGTGCATCTGTCCATCATAAAAGTGCATCTATCCATCATAAAAGTGCATCTATCCATCATAAAAGAGCATCTGTCCATCATAAAAGTGCATCTATCCATCATAAAAGTGCATCTATCCATCATAAAAGTGCATCTATCCATCATAAAAGTGCATCTGTCCATCATAAAAGTGCATCTATCCATAATAAAAGTGCATCTATCCATCATAAAAGTGCATCTGTCCATCATAAAAGTGCATCTGTCCATCATTAAAGTGCATCTATCCATCATAAAAGTGCATCTATCCATCATAAAAGTGCATCTATCCATAATAAAAGTGCATCTATCCATCATAAAAGTACCTCTATCCATCATAAAAGTGCATCTATCCATCATTAAAGTGCATCTATCCATCATTAAAGTGCATCTGTCCATCATAAAAGTGCATCTGTCCATCATTAAAGTGCATCTATCCATCATTAAAGTGCATCTGTCCATCATAAAAGTGCATCTGTCCATCATAAAAGTGCATCTATCCATCATAAAAGTACCTCTATCCATCATAAAAGTGCATCTATCCATCATAAAAGTACATCTATCCATCATAAAAGTGCATCTATCCATCATAAAAGTGCATCTGTCCATCATAAAAGTGCATCTATCCATCATAAAAGTGCATCTATCCATCATAAAAGTGCATCTGTCCATCATTAAAGTGCATCTATCCATCATAAAAGTGCATCTGTCCATCATTAAAGTGCATCTGTCCATCATAAAAGTGCATCTGTCCATCATTAAAGTGCATCTATCCATCATAAAAGTGCATCTGTCCATCATTAAAGTGCATCTATCCATCATAAAAGTGCATCTATCCATCATAAAAGTGCATCTGTCCATCATTAAAGTGCATCTATCCATCATTAAAGTGCATCTGTCCATCATAAAAGTGCATCTGTCCATCATAAAAGTGCATCTGTCCATCATAAAAGTGCATCTGTCCATCATAAAAGTGCATCTATCCATCATAAAAGTGCATCTATCCATCATAAAAGTGCATCTATCCATCATAAAAGTGCATCTGTCCATCATTAAAGTGCATCTGTCCATCATAAAAGAGCATCTGTCCATCATAAAAGTGCATCTATCCATCATAAAAGTGCATCTATCCATCATAAAAGTGCATCTATCCATCATAAAAGTGCATCTATCCATCATAAAAGTGCATCTATCCATCATAAAAGTGCATCTATCCATAATAAAAGTGCATCTATCCATCATAAAAGTGCATCTGTCCATCATAAAAGTGCATCTGTCCATCATTAAAGTGCATCTATCCATCATTAAAGTGCATCTGTCCATCATAAAAGTGCATCTGTCCATCATAAAAGTGCATCTATCCATCATAAAAGTACCTCTATCCATCATAAAAGTGCATCTATCCATCATAAAAGCGCATCTATCCATCATAAAAGTGCATCTGTCCATCATTAAAGTGCATCTGTCCATCATTAAAGTGCATCTATCCATCATTAAAGTGCATCTGTCCATCATAAAAGTACCTCTATCCATCATAAAAGTGCATCTATCCATCATAAAAGTACATCTATCCATCATTAAAGTACATCTGTTCATCATTAAAGTGCATAGAAAGTGGACAGATGCACTTTTAAGGACTTAAAACAGAAACCGGCCATTCACTGCCATTATAAAACTTGGAAGAGCCACGATATTTTCTTAATATATCTCAGATTGCATTCGTCTGAAAGTAGAGTGTCATATACACATATACCTAGGATTTAGCCTAAAAATCTAGACGCACCCTAGAGGCAGCAAAAATTATTTTGCAGAGAGAACGTCACTTAAGTCATTCTTAAAAAAGGAAGATGTGTTCGGAGTTTTGACGACCGGATACGGCAAAAGTGTTATATCAGCTGCTCCGCCGGAGGGAAACGCACAGGACTCACTCAGCCACAGCCGTTCGTGGCTCTGGTTGGTTGTAGCGCTGTCCTATTGCGTGCAGAGGGATTTCGAAAGACAACTGTTCATCCCGCCCCTCGGAGTGAGTTCCCAGACCTAACATCTTGATGCTACCTAGGATTAGTTGAGGGTGAGTAAATCATGGGCTAATTTTCATTTTTGGGTGAACTACTCCTTTAACTCTCAGGTTTTGTTCAGTCATTTCAGACCAAAACATTTTGGAATGTTATGAAACTTGATGACTTTTCTTGCACTTGCTATGTGAACACAAAAATAAATCATGGACATGATTCATTAAGGCTAAAAGGTCGTAAAAAATAGTCACACTTGTATTGTACACTTGCCCTGTATGTATTTATATACAGGCATCTAGTGGCGACATCATGGCATTAAGGCCTATTCACATTCAAGGACAATAACATGATATAGTTTTAAAAATCATTCTAAATAGAATAGCAGAGTCCACAACACAACTATAACAATAACGACACAGAGGAACGATATTGTTGGAATCACTTTTAGTCCAGGCAAAGTAGCGTTTTATGACAGACTAATTGTAAAATAATTTTTTTCAGCGTAGATCATTTCTATAAGGTGTCCAGAACAACATACTAAAAGTCCTAAGAAATCCTAGTTGAGGAAATGTTTAATTCTCATCAATCCGAGATGTGTGCCAGTAAGGCCAGACAACAATACACCCCAATGGGGCTATTTTTTCCCTTACTCCTATCAAAATGAAACTTTACACAATGAAAGTATCCATGAAAAGTTTTCTAAAGTTTATTTGAAAATGAATTTTAATTTGCAAATGAGCTATACACTAATTAAATATGCCCAACATACACCCACATACGATGGACATCAGGGACTGTAACATACGGTGGCCGATACAGCTCAACGCGCTGCAACTGAAGCAAACACATGCAAATAGAAAAAAAACACATGCAAATAGAAAAAAACACGTGCAAATAGAAAAAAACGCGGGGAAATAGAAAAAAACGCGTGCAAATAGAAAAAAACGCGTGCAAATAGAAAAAAACGCGGGGAAATAGAAAAAAACACCTGCAAATTAAAAAAAAACATCTTCATCAGTTTCACAACACGTGTGCTCCAAATACAGAAACGCGCTGCAAAAGTTCACAACACAAATACAGAAAACGCACTGCAAATAACACAGACCACAACGGAAATGTTTCCAGGGGAACCAAATAAGTGACGAACCCGGCTGGGACGTGCTTACTGCTCGTGAGCGTCCCTGTGCCCTACTCCCTTCGAAGGGCAGATTGCAGAGCCCTTAAAGTGGGCCTTTGGAGCAGGGCTCTAGTGTGCTGTTATAGCCGTGTGGAGCGCACTTGATGAAGGAGCAACGAAAGACGT